GACTTGTCACATGCCTTAGCAAGCTCTAGCTCAAACAGTCATAATTAGATTCGTGTATGTCCACACTGTTTTATTGTCCTCAGTGATTACTTTCTCAATTTGTTTAAGTAGCTTTCTCTATTTGCTTTTCTGAATGAAAATTTTCCTGTAGTTGCTCATCTAGTCTCCTTCCCACTTTCCCTGCTCTTCCAAAACTTAGCTTGATACATTTGTGATCACTATGCAGACTTCAGGGGCCACCTTCATCTATGTGCATTCCCCTGAGCTTATCATACATCCTATGTGACATCAGTGCGTAATCTATCGTCGACTGCAGCCTTCCTACCTCCCATGTTATTTGCCCTTCACACTTCTCGGCACTGTTGCAAATGATCAAATCATGCCTTTCACACATATCCATGATCATTGTGGCTGTTGGGTCGGCAGACCCGTCTATATCTTCTATGTGCGCATTCATATCTTCTAGTACAATTATCTCGCACTCTCCTCCTAACTCCTCAATGTCATTTGATATACACTCTACCATTGCGTGGTTTCCCTCTCTGGCCTTTGCTCCCGTCCACAAGTACACCAAAACAAAGAGTGTCACTTGCCCTGCCACTTTCCCTTTTAGCCATAAATTTTCCTTGCACTCCTGCTTGACCCTTTGCCAGTCTGTACTTTTATGAATGAATGCCCCAATACCACCCCCCTTTCTGCTGCCTTCTGTTCTATTACAATATTCCCACGCGTAGTCAGGATTGTTAGGAGGTTGTTCCATGTCCCTAAGATGTATTTCTACAAAGCCGTATACCATCGGCCTCTCCTCCCTTAGCTGTTCTTCTATCTCTTCCCACTTCAGCCTGTTCCTGCCACCCTGCTTGTTAATATACCCTATGTCTGAATTGGCTCGGCGCTCGTGGCTACGTCTATTTCTGCCCCAGACTCTAGCTATCTTAGATACTGGTGCCACTTTAGAATCGTATCTGTCCATACCACCTGTCTAAGAGTCTCCCTGTCTGTTTTTTTTTTTGTTTCTAGCTATCCTGCACCCCGAAGTGCCCGCGTGCCCCCCAACAAAGCTACTGTGCGTCCTGCAAGTCGCCAACCCACCTCGTGACCTAGCCGCTCATCGAAGTGAATTCTGTCTCGTTGAAAACCACCCCACCTATGCACCTCTCTGTTTATTTTCACCACCTCAAAGCCTTTCTCTCGACTTGTGCACCATCTCTCTCGGTTTGCGTTGACAACCACTCTTTGTAGGTTGTCGTCCCACACCGGTACCTTCGGTATGGTGCATATCACTACCTGTACCTGAGGAGAAGTGGCGCGTATGTCATCGACCCCTTTCGCCAGTGTGGTCACTAGTCCTGGCGTGTCTTCACTTAAGACATCGTTTAAACCGCCTGAAATTATCACGAGGTTCTGTCTATCAGCTGTAGTTTTGAGTTTTGCGCTCGCTTGCCTCATGACTGCTTCCAGCTTGCATCCTGGGAACGTTTCTATTGCAACCCTGTTGTCACCTCTTACCCTCTCTTTGATTGCTTCTGCTGCATCGACTTAAGTTCGAGTTCTCGGCGATTATCACATGCTGTGACTCTTCAGCTGGAGCGTCCTGCACCTGGGGGTTACTTTCACCTGTGACGCCGGCTGCTTTGTCCCCTCCCGGCCCCACTACTACTTTGCTGAAGCTGGGTCTTGCGACAATTGAACCGGCTGAACCTGTTTTTTTCAAACTTGCTTGCTCTTTCTTCTCCGCTGTTCTGGTTGCCGGTGCCCTACTGTTCTCTCGGTCGGCCACTCCTTTGTTCACCTTGACTAGTGTTTTCTCGGTGGACTTCAGCCTTTCTCCCATTGCCCTCAGTTCTTTTCTTGATCTGCCGCCAACGCAGTCTCCAGTTCGGTGATTCTCAACAGCAGTTCACTCTGGGCAGCCATCGTTTTTTCCATTTTTTCCTCGACCTCATATTGCCTACACTTCGCGTCAGCCTCCTCTTCTATTTGCTTCTGCACTTGGGTCTATTTTCAAACTCACCCTGCATCCTGAACACTTTACAGCCTTTTTAATCATGTTTTTATGACATCAATTGTCCTTAAAACTTGTCTAACTCGATAATTACAAAACACGATCCTTGTCCTTACGAAAAAGATAGTCTAATCCTCTACTACAAAAATTTGCGTGTTCAATGTACGTGCACCTCCCCCATGGGGTGGCAAAAGAAAACAACACACACACACACACAAACTAGTAAATACCTGGTGACTGACCCCTGGAAAAGCCGTACATGTATAATATGTGCTACAAAGATTTTAACTGCTGCCTTATTAGTTATAAAGGCAAGGCTCATAACGTGCAAAACCACTTATCTGCACGGTCGATCGGGAGCACTCAAAAAACACATCCATCCACCGTGCCAGTCCGAACCGCTAGTGTACACAACGCCACCTATTGCTCAATAGCCGTGAACCCCGAAATATGGCTTCTGCGCGAGACATGTGAGCCACGCGGTGCAAACAACTCTTACAGGGGAGTGTCAGTACCTTCACACCCTAAAGAAGAAGGTACTATATAATAGCTGCATCTTGCTGGTTCTTGTCTACCGAGTGAAAACCTGGAAGCTTACAAAAATGGTTCAACTTAAATTGAGGTCGAGGCAGTGAGCGATCGAAAACAAAATGATAAATGTAACCTTAAAAGACAATAAGAGAGCAGAGAGGGAACAAACTGGGATTAAGCATATCATTGTTTAAACCAAGAAGAAGAAATGAACATGGGCCGGGAACGTGCACATAGGCAGGATAACTTCTGGACATTCAAGGGGACCTGCAACACTTTCTGAGCATGGTCAGAAAACGCTGCCGATTGGTAGTACAGGCTATAATATTTGGCTCGCGTGTTGTCGGGATCCCGACAACAGGCGGCCCAAACAATATAGCGCAGTACTTTGCTTGGAATTCATAATAAATTATCAAAGTCAGCTAAAAATTGATTTCTCTTCTCTCAACGAATGACTGAAGACGCTCAAAAATAACTCGTAGAAAGCCCTTCTATCAGGCATTGGCTGATTTGAACATGGCGCGCTCAGTCATTATAGATTGCCGCAAGAGGCCGCAACTTGTCCCAGCGTGCACCCGTGATCACAATGAAAATCTGCGCACTTGAAGAAAAAAACAAAAGAAGAAAGTGGTCAAGGTCACGAGGTGTGGGTGACGTATTTTCTTTGTCCCCGCCATCCCTCCCTTTGGGGCTTCCAGCGCTTTTGTTGGGACAACAGAAGAGAGAATGCAATTGCAGCATGCGGCAAATCTACTCGCACTGTACGGATTCTTAAAATTTTTGTAGTGTTGAATTCGTGAGGCACTAAGTTCTTCGAGTGAAATTATTTTATGGTTACTTGAAAAAGTGTTTCAGGGCCCCTTTAAAAGGCCACTCACCAGGCCCCATACAAAATTTTAATTAGACCATGGAAGTTGTTGGATGTCTGATGAGAGGAATATTTTGCCACAAAACTTTCCTAAATCGATTCACTACGAGCTGAAAAAACTGTTTTTCTGAAGTGGCGCGAAACGAGTATGAGAGGAGGCGAACTCAAAACCCTTGCTGCTCGCCCGCATAGCTTTCGCAAGCCAAATATTTTTCCCTGCCCTCTCCGGCATCTGACGAAGAGGTCATGTGTGCATAACATGCTCGAACAAGCCCAACTCCCGTGCACACGAGTGGCGTTTTTTTTGTTTCTTTTTCGTACCAGTGTTGTTTCGAGGTCTGCTGCCTGTTTCTGCGGGAAGGTTTGGAAACACTGGCTTAGACGCGGTAGAATAGATGATCACAATGAGTGGGTGAATGCGTAAGAACGTTCTATGGCTGTCGTCTGCTCGATGTACTGACCGCGATGACACGAACGCATGCGAAATGCCGGCAGATTAGCCCTGCATCTCCTTGCAATTCGTGGGGGGAAAAAAAAATGGAAAAAAGACTCTCACATTCTCTTATTGCATCTCATTATTTATCTAGAGTTTTAATAATCTCTTCAAGCAACAAATACATAAACTGCGCTTGTCGTGTTAAATAATTTTTTCTTTGTCACGTGCCACTGTTGGCAACATCAGAGCACAGTCATTTATGCAAAGGACTAACGTCACTGCACTGTCGTGTACATAGAGCCATTCATAGGTGCACGTCATGCTCTCATTCTTTGGGCGCCCCCCCCCCGTGAAAGGAAGGTGGAGCAGCAGTAATCTTGAAATTTGACCCATTTTTGTGGTGCGTAGCGTTGCAAATTTTTGCAGACGTGATCGTGAAGGCCCCATTTACACATTGCCCTTGTCAGCTCAAAATTGTCAAATATGGTGAGCGGCCCTGTAAGGATAACTTACTGGGATTCTTAGAGAAGGCAAACGCACAAAGGGGAGACAGAAAGTTAAATGGGCAGATGAGATTGGAAAGTTCGCAGGTCTAACATGGCAGCAGAATGCACAAGACTAAGTTGATTGGTGAATCATGTGAGAGGCCTTTGCCTTGCAGTGGGTACAGTCAAGCTGATGATGATGATGGTATTTAAGTTGCAGAATGAGTGCCATGAAAAGCAAAGCACAGGATTACCTAATCATCAACAGGCTTATTTGCATTGCACTGTGCTATCACATACTGCGCAGTTCTAATGCATGTTTTTGGAGATGAAAGGAAATTTAGGCAGTGATTACTTGAAAAAAAGCATCAATTGTGGTGGAAGTTAGACAGGGAGACTAGAATGTGGTGTCTCACTGGGTGTGCAGCTGTCTCCATTTTAAGTCTAGCACTAACACACAGGCACAGAATGGGGTTCACTCTAGGATCCCGTTACACTCCAGTGAGATCGGTGCTCACAATTGTGGCACCGCGTGTTGAGAACCTCACATTCCAGGTGGACCCACAATATGTTCAAAGTGATCTTTAGGATTAGGTCATATTAAGACCCCTGATAAAGTCAGCAGTGAGTGTCGGTAACACTATCTCGTTGCGTCCTTTTTGTTGTCTTCCACAGAGGTGCACCAGACGTGGCTGGTGGTCGTGGTGTTGGTGGCTGTGGCATTGCTGCTTCCCCTGTGGGGCATGCTGGCATGTGCCAACCCTCACACCCAGGAGGTGCTCTACACAGGGTGGACACCCGTCATCTCTGCCATGGTCATCTCCAGGCACGTCTCATCTCCGCCACTTGCATAAAGCACAGGCTGGCAGTGGTTGATGCTTCGGTCTACAGTAGAGTCTCGTTGCTAAGCAGGAAATCACTATAGTGGAATTACTGCACGAATAAAGTGACATTCATGTAATTGGTTTATTTCATATTTTCACAATGCAGAAATAATTTCTGTGCTCAGGACCAGGACTTTTCTCAACTCTCCATAAATAAAGCTAGAACAGAACCGGTGGCAGGAAAAAGCTGCCAATGCGTTGATGCACGCACTTCTGCTTGCGTGCAACAGGTCCGTCTGAGTTTCTGCCAGTGTGGTATGCTCGCTGTAGGACGACGAAAGAAGTGCGAGGGCTCGAGACAGGTCCACATGCGATAGTTCTGGAGCACACAGTTAAAGGACCATTTAAAGAAGGACCATCTGAAATACTTTCAGACCTTGTTGAATCAAACTTGCCAAAAAACATCAGTTCAACAGGGTCATAATTTGATGCAAAGCTTTTGAATAATTGGACAACACAAAGGCACATGCAGTCTGTAACGCGCACCTTTTTCCGGTTAAGCGAGTTCATAAATCGCATGCGCGTTAGAATCGAGTACGATAAAAAAAGTCAATGCGGTCATTCTATTGCCATCGCATTTCCAAAATGGCCGCCCCCTACGTGCGTCGGCATGGCGCGTCGGCCATTTCTGCCTATGTGTTTCCCAAGTGCGGCACTTCGTACGTGTGCTGAGGAGTTTGTCATCTTGTAGTGCATTAGCATCGACGGCATGAAAGGGCCGACTCCAAAAACTCGAGTGCACCACGATGCTGCTTTTAAAAGGGAAGTCATCACGTGTGCAGAAACGGACGGAAATCGGGCCGCATTGCGGTCGTTCGGAGTTCCCGAAACGTGCGTATGGGACTGGCAGAAACAAAAGCAGAAGATTGTCGACAGCAAGGCTTCACGCTAAGGCTTCAGTGGACCACAGCAGGGTCGGTTTCCGCAAATTAAAGAGCTGCTCGGCGAGTATGTGCTTGAGCAGCGAGCGGCACAGCGGCCCGTGATGACAGAACTGCTCCAAGTGCGGGCTATGCAATTAGCCTTAGAAAAATGTCTAATGCGGAGCCAGTTTAAAGCGAGCAGGTGCTGGCTAACTAACTTTATGAAGAGGAAAGGCTTTTCCCTCCGAAGGGGAACGGGCATATGCGAAAAGTTTTGCGGAGGAGTACGATGAAAAGCTTCACAGTTTTCAGAGGTTCGTCCTAAACTTGCGGCACAACAACGGCTACCTGCTTGGGCAAATAGGGAATGCCGATCAGACGCCTCTTAACTTCGACATGCCTGCACCACAACTGTCGAGAAGAAGGAGGCGAAGCAAGTTCGCGTGCTGACATCGGTCCACGGTAAAACTACAGTGACGGCAATGCTGTGTTACATGTCAGATGGGCACAAGCTTCGCCCGTACCTCATATTTAAATGGAAGACGCTCCCGAAAGGAGTCGTTTTTTCGAGTGGTGTGATCGTGCGGGCCAGCGAGAAAAATGGGTGCGCGTTGCAATCGATGTCTAACGTTTTTTTGTTTGTTTTTTTTCGTCATGGAAATCGGGTGTGCGTTACAATCGAGGGCGCGTTAGAATCGAGTAAATAGGGTAGTTAGGGTGCTTCCTCATGTACACTAGCTCTACCGGCAGTGTACATGGGGAAGCACCGGACTAGGGCTCTTGCATATGTTAATGAGCTCCTGTTTGCTTTAATTAAAAGAAATAGGCAAATAATCTACATTGTTGTCCTTGCCTCCTTGAAGAATGTCCGGATTTACACTCAGTACAATGTAGTCATAATTTCCTGCTTTTTTTACTGAATACCGAAATAAATATTAGAGCTATTCATATCCACTTCTACATGGAAATTTGAAGTATTTGAAACGAATGAATAGGCGTTGTCAAAGGTAGTTCCAAATGAATGGGAGGTAGTAGTTCCTATAGCAACTTTGGAAAGGTGATTCCGCTGTGTCGCTGACATCACAAAATTGAAACAGCCTCTCCATGGGGAATCCCCTCTTCTCCAAAACCATAATTGAAGGTTAAATGTACATATTACCTGCTGCCAGATTATTAATATCTTGTAGTGTTTCTTTTTGTGTGTTTCAAAGCATGTTAGACAGGTTTAATAAAAAGGTACTATTTCAGCAGAATATTTTATCCTCCTCAGACCGAATAAGGCAATTCCACGTCACCTTATTTGAAACTTCTTTGTTTTGGTCTTGAACATACAAGAAAATGAAAAAAAAATTATTTCTACTGAACAACGAAAAACACTTATAAAATTTAAATATTTTACTAATGAAATTTAAGTAACTGAAATTTATCTAATTTATTTACACAGCTGGAAACTGTAATTTACAATACAAACTATGCATAAAAATTTATTAAAACTTTATTGGAGTTCGTTTAGCAGTCCTGTCACATATACTGGGCAACAATACACTACGAACAATTTTATTTATGTCCCTGCAAAGATGAAAAAGTTGCTGGTTTTTGGAAACTTCATTTTGACACCTCTCATGATCACAGGTGCTCAACAAGGAGTGCCATCTTGTTGAGCTTAGGTAAAGTAATGCTTCCCTATAAAAATACACGTTGGAGGTAAAAAATGTTTGCATGAGAATTAACTGCGCTTTCTCGAAGCAATGACCCCAGATAGGGGTCTCAGGGAACTGGAGGGGTTATGCTGTTTGGTCAGTACCAGTATTTTTCATTTTTGGAGCAGTTGAACTTTTATGTAATGAAACAAGAATGAAATAAAATGTAAAATACTGCTTATCATTCGTGTGCTTCTTTGGGATGCCAGACTGTGATCAATCAGCGAATCACTTGACCTCCAATAAGTGCATGTATTGTGCAAATGTGCCCTGTGGGCCAGTCGCAGGCCTGGGGAACTGCTTTCTTAATCATGTGCAATGCATTACGGTGTGAGCGCGGTCTTTGTGCCTCTTATGCCAGTGATGTCCCATCGCCTTGCAAATTGGTCTATGCTAGTACAGTGTGAACATTGCAGCCGTACTTGCTGTGCAGTGTGGGAGGATGCATCTTGGACTTTGCTGTCTCCCGCTTCCATGGCATTGCTGTCTTCCAGCCTGTCATAAATGGTGCGTGCTGCTCACTTTGCATTCCTTACCTGTATTCACCTGCACGGGCAATTCAGCGCTACTAGTTGATGAGTATGTTTCCAGTTGCAGTTTCACCACCCATAGAGTTTCTTAAATGTACACTAGAGGCAACTCTGGCGCTAGTGTTTATGGGAGCTGCGATGCACGGCGCTTCAGCGAGCATAGGAATGTTGGATAGTACACGGATTTGTCTAGTCTTCGTACTTATGGCTCTGTGTGTATTTGTGTGGCTTGAAGCTGTTTTCTCTCAAAACAACAATCGGCAAATGTTCGGCTCTTACGCTTCACCACCTTCACCTTTTAGAGTACCACTTCTAATCGCGTCACACAGTTCAAAACTGTTTGTTCTTTCCTTTAAAACGAAACCAAAACCAGCAATAAGCAAAGCCACAAGTGTGATTTGCTGCCTGCAAGTACGAAGACTAGACAAGTTAGTGTACTACCCATAATTCCCATGGTCGCTGAACAATTGCAGCGCCAGAGTGCCCTCTAGTTAATTTTAGGAAACTCTATGGCACTACTTACTAATTTCATGAGCAGTTGTGCAGACATGGCAGCAGATTACAGCCGCACATTACGTAGTGGAGTCTTGTGACATTGCGCTTAGTCGTAGTGGTGGAGATTGCACCAAGTATGGAGCCATATTTTCAGCATATTGATGTCTCTGGATATCTGTGTCTTTTTTTTACTGTGGAAGCACAGGGCATAGTGTCAAGAGGTTGCAGCTGACAAATAGACATCATTTGTTGACGAGTGAAATCGCTTAATATTTTTGTTGTCGACTCGTGGAACTGCGGGTCAACGCTATTGGTATGAGACGCATGTCTAGAACGTTGACGACGAGCCCCGCGTGCTATCTTAATCTGATTATTGAGGTTCCGCTTGCAGGCACCTTAAGTGATCGTTTACTCATGCTTGTAAAATGAGGACAAACGCATCACTAAGTGTTGTTGAGAGCCGTGACCTCTCAATGCACAATCAGCTGACAATGCTCCCCGGGAGTGAGGATCGGGCGTTCTAGAGCAACAAGGTGGACGCAGCCAATTGGAGGCCTTGAAACAATCTTTATAAGTATCCTCTTTATAAGCGTTTGTTTTTTGTACGCTGGTTTCTGATTTGGGTACCTACCTGAAGCGGAAAGGTTGAAGACAGAAATGCTCTTTCTGACGAGCCCAATATAGCAGCGCCAAGTTGCATCGTTGTGCTGCTATAATTTTTTTAGAATATAATTTGGAATCTGCTTAGTAATCCTCTGTAATTTTTTTTTCTCTAATTTTGCTACGAAGTACATATTAAATATGCATTCAATAAATACGAAAATATTATCCGATTCACATCACACTCAAACTTTATTATTCGAATTTGTTTCACTCGCGAACTTTTGCTATTTGCACAGCTCCACCTATTTCCTTTCATAGATGAACAGACCTTTTCAAAGATTTCTCGCAGAAGATGCACCGCACCAAGGTGTTCTGCCTAAACATTGAGGCGGCATGCAGGCGTGGGCGGCAACCTTGTGGCAGTGCAGGCCAGCCGCATATCCACCTTCCTGCACCAGAGGGCGACGCTGGGGTTCCTGCCTGCTTCGGACCCGTCCGTCTGCCTCAATCCCTTCTTGGCCTTCTTCGGCAAGAGTGAGTTTTTCATTCCTCAGCAACCAACTGTGACAGCTTAAGTTTACTTGCTGAGATTAACGGGGTCGTGGCGTTTCGCTGATATGAGGGCAGAGGTTCAGTTCATGATTGTGACGGCTACGACTTGCTGAGACAGAAAAAAAAAAAGACTTTTACTGAGATTCGAGTTCTGGTGGCTTTCAAAGGTGTCAAGAAAAGTTTTCACAAAATTTCCTACTACGTATGTATTCAGAATACTGGCCATTCATTCAATACTATTCTTCGACTTGCTTCAGTGTCCGTGTTCATTCAACAGCTATAAAAAGCACAATTTTGATTCACGGGCTCCCATTCCCCTCAACTGTACAACTGACGTCACTATAAAGGGCCAGTAAGCAACCCCGAGGTTCAAGTGTTTTAATGAAGAGAAGTATGTGCACTTTTGCTATGTGAACATGCTGTCACGAGAATTTTGTGAATACGTGCTATAAGGAAGTGACAGGGGTTAGAACATGCGTTTCAGCCAGTTTCAAATTCTCGCGCAGCTGCTCACCACTCTTCTCCGCCATGGTTGGGGGGAGGGAGGGGGAGGCGTAGCTTGTCGTCGTAACTCTACCCACTTTGGCACTGTGCCACGATGTCTGTGATACGTCATCAGCGCGAGCAACGATCAAGCAGGGCTTTCCCCACATGAGTAGTAGTAGCAGAGGCAGAAATCATAGTAGCAGAGGCAGAAAACGTGGAGTGAGGAGCGCTTTTTCCACTCACAGGGAAGTAGTGAGATGCGTCTTTATCTTGGAGGCTTTCGATCTGGCAATACCGCTTCTCCCGGGGTCTCGGGTTTTACCAAACGGCAGAGGGCAGTACAGAAAAATAAAAATGCGGGCTGGGCGGCTGAACCTGCATCACCGAAGGTCCAAGGCACCATTTTGTAGGGCAAACAACCGATCATTGAGCTTGGTGGTGTGTAACGTTGCTCATGGGCGAACTTTCATCAGACTGTGCACACAAGGTGGATTGGTCAGGCAAGGGAAAGAGGCGCGGGATTGTTTTTCGAAATGGAAGATCTGTGCAGCGCGCAGCACTGTAATGTTAGGGTTTGGTGATCATGATCGCTGTGGTCTGCTGTACAAATTGGCGAGCTTGTTTGGGGAAAGTAAAAAAAAAAGTATTAGCTTGTTTACCGGCCCTTAAAGAAGCCACTGAAAAGATTCCTGTCAGCGACAAAACATGGCGAACACGGCAATGTTTGCTGAGCTGTAGTTGATTGAGGTTCGTAGCATCATACTGTTGCCATAAAGACTGTTGTTCCACTGTAATGAGTTCTGCAGGGATCCCATTCCTGCGCCAACTGCTGCCAAACGAGATTTGCCCCGCCAACCTGATAAAATCGGCGTAAATTGCGCCAAAGTGCACCAAACCGTCTCTCAGGGGTTTACAACCTTTGGTCCCGTGGATCACATGTGCCTCGCAGCGTAGTTTTAAGCGGCTCCCGGAACGACATCAGAAATCTTAAAATCACTAGACACTGTAATTGCAGCAGTATTTAAATAACATCAATTAATGTTTTAATTACCAGAGGCAGTGGTCAAGTCTAATGAGAGAATTCTTCATCTTCCTGCGAACAGGCCATTGCCACTTTCAAAAACAGGCTGCCAGTGCTTCTGCGGAGCAATGAAATTCAACCTCATTCTGCGACTGGGACCGCAACCAAAGCTTCAATGAGCGCAACTATAGCATAAGGCTAGAGATATGTCACTGTTCACGACGGTGATTGCAGTGGTGTTCTGCATTGGCTTACTTATTGGCTTACCATATGATCTAAAGCATTGCCTCCGAGATGCGACGCACAGCAGTTCATGTGTAGAGCAGACGACTGATGACAACTTGCCCTAAAGCGTGTTCTTCAGTCTAATGTGGCAGCCTTCGTGCCCCAAATGATAAAAATTTGTTATGAATCATTTATGAACTCATTCAACATTCAATTCTCTCACCCAACGTGTTGCAAACGCATGGCCGTCACAGCAGTTCCATCTGTGTGTCAGTAATGGAGAGGCACAACATATTAGAAGTCTCAGTGCTCTACGTATAAGAGTGAATTCAGATACTGTAGAATACCGTGTTCAAAATAGTTACTCCTATCTGCTAAAACAGCCTTTCTTCACCAAATGCGGTCACGTTTACTCGCGTTTGAAACTCATTGCCGCTTTTCTGTTCCGATTTCTAGATTTCTCAACTTATCAGCGCATTCTCGAAAAGCTCTGATTTGTACCATGAATATTGTCGCTAAAAACAAAATGATGCAACGTTTTTTTCTATATTACTGTATGATGGCCTTCTGTTGTCTATTTACGAGATTTTAAGAAAAATCGAAGATGGGGTTTTTTTATTATTCAAATTTCAGTGGAGTACACTTTTGTCAATATGAGAACTTTGAGGCAATATATAAAAATTTACATTTGCCCTACGGCAGCAATAATTTATGTACCTAATGAACACACTATATCCTTAAAACGTGTCAAGTTTGAAAGCGCTGCTTGCATTACTTTCGAAGAAAAAAAATGGGGAATGCGTAACTTATTTTAAACTGTCGCAAAATTAGACATTTTTAAAAGCTATTTTCTTAAGGTCTACAAACTTGAAACCGTATGAATTCATTCTTCATTAGACATGCATTTCAGGTAAAAAATATCTTCCTTGAAACAAAAATATTTGTCTTTTTATAGCATCCGCAATTTTCGAAAATGACAGGTGTCGAAATTGGTGCCTCCATGTTGGTGAAGTTTGATATTTTTTTTCTCGTAAGTTATGCCGTTAATCATAAAACGAAGTTGACTTTCGGGCTACCTCGTGTGAGGTGCACGAAATATAATATACTCAATGAAATGTAAAAGATCATCTTTTGGACCCGTGTCAATCTCTCGTGGAATCACCCAACGCGGTTTTTTACTGTAAAATAAGTCTTTTGGGTTAGCTCTGCCTTCAATCTCCCTTTCGTTTAATTTGCGTGTTTATTTTCCGAATTTTCGTACCGAACTTGCATATAACGTAATCCTCTTTATAACATACTTTTTTAGGAATTTATCAATTTCTTTATATTCATGTCTAGCTAATTACGATTTTCCTTCAACTTCGTCATAACGAGGTGTGACTGTATACCTATGCCGAAGTGCTCCTAATAGTAATATTACCTGCTTCAGAACTAAATTTTTACTGCTGTAAAATGCTTCAAATAGCAAGATTACTGGCTTCCAAAATGCTCCAGAAGTAAAATTTTAGTGCTCCGAGATGCTCCTAATCCCAAGATTACTTGCTCCAAAACTAAAATTTTACTGCTACAAAGTGCTTCAAAACTAAGATTTTACTGCTCCAAAGTGCTCCAAAGCTAAAATTTGACTGCTCCGAAAATTGCTTCAAATCAGCAGCCCCCAGTGGGAGCACTGGTGCTGCAGCTTTGTCTGATGATGTATACGGCTAGCATAGTCAGGACCAAGCCATCCAAAACGCATTGTAAAACCCAACCGAACACAACCAGTAACAAAAAACTGGTACACTGCACCAAGCGAGTGTAGACTAGGAGATAAGAATGCACACGTGACAGAGCCCAGATGTAGTTGGAAGTGGGACCAAGCACATAACTTGCTGTGCTTGCACAGTACTATACAACTCAAAGTGCGAAAATTGCAATGTCAATTTTTTCTTTTCTAGGTTTCTCTAAATCTGTTATTTGAGAGCGATAAAAAAAGCTAACCCTGTGTTCCTAACCTCTCTTGCCATGACGTCACATGTTAGTGCCTATGGCAGCCAATGGTGCCTCGTGGTTGCTTAGAAGCCCAAGAGAAATGCAATTTCAAACAGGTGTAACTAATCAAGAACTTAATATTGTGGGGAATCATTTCGGAATTAGCATGTCTAATCCTTATTGAAGCTTGGAAAATTCCAATCGGCCAGCTTCGTCTTTTTTCAAGACCCCTTTTAAACATATTGTGAATTTTAGGAGCACAGAATACAGGAATTGAAATGACCTCGAGCAAGCAGAAGAATCCGCTGTTATGGCGTGCCTGACAGTGTAAGCATAGTTTTGGCAGGTAGAACCCCATAATTAAATGTGCTTTTACCTGTACACCGTTGTGGTGCAGGTGCGCACGCACGCACTGCTCGTGTGCTGCTGCTAATGGTGGTTCCGGGACATCTGGTGTTCACGTACGGCATCCGGCTGCTCAAGGCTGGCCACACGTCAGTCACTCCCATCTTCCTCGTTGTCTACCTCACCGCTGCTGTGTTGCAGGTCAGTACGATAGGCACTCACGCCTCCTGGGGAGTCAGGGTAGGGTAGGCATACGTGCCTGCCAAAGGAAATCATCTCCCATGCTCATTTTGGGCTGCTTCAGCACTACAAAATTCCAGCCACTATTAAAAGCAGGGAGAAATGTTGGGATCTGAGACAACATATCAGAACGTCGTTGCGATATGGCTAGTTCTGCGGGTTCCACTTTTGTTATTGCATCAATTCACGTTTAAAATAGGCAGCTGTTTACCATGTACGAATAGTAAAATGGGCTACATGGTCAAGCTGTCTGACATCCTAGTGTAGCGTAGGCCAGACTCTGTCACAGAGTTGTAGTTGCCTTCGCATCAAGCTCTTGTTTGTGGCAAGAGTTCGACAGTGGTTTTCACTTGGCACAATTTTCAAAGGATCTTTTGAAATTTAGATGTAAGTTTATTCTACTGCTCTCCATTCTTTATGAAAAGCAAACTGTTTTGCATCACTGCTGGTGGTACACACTACTCAGGTTACTGGCATGATAATCTTGTGCAGGAGTTAACACACTCTGGTATGCCATATACAGCCACTGTTTAGCAACCAGTGCCATCATGCTGCATGGCTTCAAAAATTATGCTGCATATAGACACGTTTATAAATTATTTCATTTGTTTGTTTAAGTGTTCTTGTTTGTGTCTTAATACTTTTTGTGATTGCCTTACAGTTAGCCAGCTTTGAATATGAAGCTCGGAATTTTACAACACATTTGTGAGCCCTGATTATCTTATATAATGGATTTTAGATATAAAGGTCTCTTCTTGCTGGATGATTACAGTTCATAATAACAAGCATCTCCTGTTGGTGTACACAGATGTTGATGAGGCATTTGCTGGAAACCAGGGTGTTGCAACATTTCACCTGGGAAAGTGTTAGATCATTTACTGTAACAGAATGGTTTTGCTGTATCAGAACATTCATACACCTTTATTCAGATGCACCTTAACGAGGGCAGCTGAGGTTCTGCCCAAACGATCGAAGCACGGCAAGTGAAGGAATAGTTCTGTTCGCAGGTGCAGTGGTGTTGGTTCTTCAATGGCAGGATGACTGACCGTCTGACACATGATGCCAATCTAGAGTGTGTGGTCATTGGTGCAGGCTTGTGGGCATTCATCTTTAAGAAATGGTACTGCCTTTTAAAGTCGTGGCATATTGTAGCCAGAACACGTAGTAGCCAAGCTTTATTGGACAAGCAGAGGCGAATACTGCTTGAAAAGCATCATTAGTGAACAGCTAGTGGTTTGCGATGTAGCTGCAGCTGTTATACCCGATTTTAGCATGTCAGCAGCAAAGGGTGCAGCTGTGATGCCTTCTGCTGCAGGTGCTGCTTCTGCTCTACGTAGCCCACGTCATGGTTCACTGGATGTGGAGCAGGGCGGTGGATCCTGACAACTCAGCCATTCCTTACCTGACCGCCCTGGGCGACCTGGCGGGCACGGCTCTGCTGGCGCTGTCCTTCCTCCTACTGGATGCCATTGGAGACGGTGATTCATGACGTCGGCGAATGACTACTGCACTTCCTTCCTTTCTGTGCACTATTGGAGAGGAGGCCTATTTTCCTGCACATGCTGTGCTTTCGATGCCTGTGGTTGGCTTCACAGTGGTCTCTGTGTCTGAGCACAAAATTAGGACGAGAACAGTTGCACCACTTCGGAAACCGTCGCACCGACTGCTGTCAGAGGCACGGCACTCCTCACCATTGTCTCCGACCACTGGCAAGGCTGTGTGCCACTTCGAGACTCCTGTCACACCACGATTTCAAGGGGGTTCCCTCTCACCATTTTGGCATTTGAACGGGTGTCGCCCGTCTCCCTTGTTACGGCTCCACTATTCTGAGGATGTCCTTATGATGCAGGTGGTTGTGTTGACAGGTGACCGATCCTTGGCATGCAGACCGATGTTGGACACCTGTGGTAGCGTTGGCCATCGGTGCTGTAGAAGTGTAGCATATCAGTCAATTTAGCAGTTCTCACAGGTCACCTTTGTTGACACCTTTGTCGACACCTTGTCAACACTGGTTTGAGGGGCCCTCCAGCACATTTGGCTTGACATTTTTCTTCCTTCTTTCTTTCTATCTCTTCAACTTATCATCGACGGGCAACACCAGAGATATTTGTCACATGTCTTGAAGCATAGTAGATTTAAAGAAAGCTACAACAAATGAGAAGATAGCTATGCATGTAATCTTATGTTGCTCGCCACCTTATGTTAGTACATAGTCATTATGGTACGTGTCACATGGATACTTTTGTGGCAGAACTGCAGACAGAAAATCAAGTGTCAAGGTTAACCTAGAGACTTCTACACTTTATTCTAGCATCCATCATAGTCTAAGTGTTGCGTGGGGCAATGAACACTGTTAGACATATACTGTGGCATGACCTTTGCCAACTCGTGCAAGACTTCGTGGAAGGGATTATGCTTGGTTGGTATTCTCTGAATACCTAGCCTGCAGTGCCAACCAAGGTAGCTTGTTGTTTATACAAATGCAACTTAGCTTCAACTCTTTTATTTTATTATTATAATCGTTATTACTTTGTTTAAGAACCTGTGAGTGTAGCTGCCAACAGGAATTCCCATCCATGCCAAGAAGGGTACAGCTCGTAACCCTTGAAGGGGACACTAAAGGCAAATAACAATTTATGTCGCAGTGTAAGGTCAATGCTTGAGTACGTCGTGTCCAATAATATATACACAGCAGCATTTTAGTGATAGAGAAATTAGAGCATGAGTTGTGTTATCAGTGGGAAATTCTTGTACTTCAGCCCGACGACATATAAGGGCTTCATTGCGATTAATCACTGTCAATACCAAAACTAACAGTGTTCAAGAAAAAACATTGCAGTGAATTACAATACAGAAAAAGAAATGCAAGTTAGGTGTATCAGTCCGATTCAAGAATAAAAAAGAGCTCGACAATGAGAATGACCCAAGTTCCATTTTCGCTTGACTGTGCTTTGCTGCGCAGTATTGCACAACCACTAGACAGAACACTGGCAAACTATCGCAGGAGACGAAAAATCTCATTAAGAGACGACAAACCATGAAAGCCGTTATTCATAAATGCAACCGACAATATAGAGCTAGTGGAGCTTTCGAAGTTAATCAATAGGCGCAAAGTAGCCAACATCTAGAGGTATAACATGGAAGAATTGTGCAGGCTGTTAAAAGCGGCAGAAGTCTAAAATCTGCGAAGGCAAACTTGCGCATAGCGAAAATCAGATAGATGCATTAAGGGACAAGGAAAGCAATGTCATGACCAATACAGATAGCATAGTTGAGGTGGCAGAGGAGCTCTACAGAGAGCTGTACAGGAGCCAAAACAACCAGGATGATATCATGAAAAGCAATAATAGCCCAGATGAATTCGACATCCTACCAGTAACGACAAGGGAAGTAAGGAAAGTCCTAGAAGGAATGCAAAGAGGCAAAGACGCTGGTGAGGATAAGGTAACAACGGACCTCCTGAAAGATGGCAGAGAAATTGTGATAGAAAAACTAGCCACCTTATATAAGAAATGTCTCCTTGACGGGAAGGGTACCAGAATCTTGAAAGAACGCCAACATCATTTTAATCTATAAGAAAGGAGACGTCAAAGACTTGAAGCATTACACGTCCATACCTGCCATGTCTCCCGGACTTGGATCGTTTCTTCCGTTTGTACGGTTATCATGAAAATTTCCCAGAAATCGAAATTTCTGTGATCTGGCCACATGCAGGTTAATCCACTTCAAGCTTTTTTTGTGAAACCACTGATTTTTTCATTATAAAAAAATTTAGGAGGCGTTCATCTAAGCCTACAGTAGAATCTCAGTGATGCGAAACTGTGGTAGATACGAATACGTGAAATTCCCCAGCCAAATTTTACTGTCTATTGGGCCGAAATTTCGAATGTTCTGGACACTTTTTCCAATCGCAGCAGGTGATATGAACTTTAGTACCAAATCCATCGAACGAAAGCCAAGAGCAGTGTGCTCGAAATTCTAAACTACGCGTGCAACCAAGTGCTCACTGTCTTCTACAGAGCATGTGGTTGTCGTTGGCACTACCACTGTGGACGAAATTGCGGTTGTTCTTGATACGATCATGTATGGCGACGATGTTACTGAAAGAATTCTGAAAGTGTGCGCACATCTAGCGCTTGACCAGTCAAAACAACGCTGCTTTCTGCAAACAACAGATACAATCATAGATAGCATAAAACTACCTAGTTTTCAAGGTGTAGCCAGTGCACGCGGATTGAAAACGATACTACCATTTGCCTGCAACCGCCGCGCACAAAACCATGGTCGCGGCGACGCAATAGCAATCTACGAGCTATGAGGGCACGCGGCTAATGCAGCTATAGATTAAAAGCAGTAAAGACGTAAAAAAGGCTAGGAGCGTTTTGGTGGGTCCAAAAAATCTTGCAGTGAGCAAAGCCTTGACCTGCGATTTCGCGGCAGCCAGCTGCGCCGTCCCGTCTGTTCACGTCTGTCCCAGGAAGATATATGTGAGTTGTTTGACGCAAATAGATTTTGCTAGTTGTTTTGATGACGAGAAATTTCGAGAGTATTCGTGCTCCCCTTTTGAGGCTCACCTTCGTGGGAAACCAAACCCTCGTGTGTACAGCCATTCCTAGCCATTATAAGACCACAATGCCGATGCTTGCGATTGAGAACACCCCACCCCCTCCGCCCCGTTTTTGTTTTTGTTTTTTTTTTGGTGACAAAAAATAGAAGAAAAATAATTTAGCATGAACACCCCCCCCCCCCCCCGTTGCGGAATTTTCCCGTTTTAGAATCCTTGAACTTGGCCCGTATGCAGGTCGATCAGCTTACTGTCTGTTCTCTACAAACTATTTACTAAAATAATAGCTAATAAAATTAAGGTGACATTGGAGTTCAATCAACCAAAGGACCAAGCATGATTTCATACAGGCTACTCCACAATAGACTGTATTCATGCTATCTATCGGGTAATAGAGAAATGCACAGAATACAACCAACCCCTATACATAACTTTCATGGATTACGAGAAGGAACTTAACTCGGTCGAGACATCAGCAGTAATGCAGGCACTACAGAATCAGGGCATCAACAAACCCTACGTAAACATATTGGAATAAATCTAATGGCAGATCCACTGCTACTGTAGTTCTCCAAAAGAAAGCAACAGAATCCCAATAAAGAAGGGTGTAAGGCAGGGAGACACAATCTCTGCAATGCTATTCATTGCCTGTTTAGAGCAGGTTTTCAGGGCCCTAGATTGGGAAGAGTTGGGGATAAGAGTTGATGAAGAGCATCTTAGTAACCTGCAATTTGCTGATGACATCGTCTTGATGAGTAACTCAGGGAACGAATTACAGCTCATGATTACTGAACAGGACACGATAAGCAGACAAATAGGTCTGAAAATTGGTATGCACAAAACTAAAGTAATGTGCAACAGTCTCGGCAGAAAATAGCCCTGTGCGGTAGGTGGAGAGATGCTGGAAGTTGTAAAGAAATATGTCTACTTAGGACAGGTAGTAACCGCGGAGCCGAATCATGAGAGTGAAATAAATTGAAGAATCAAGATGGGGTGGATCACATTCGGCAAGCATTCTCAAATCATGAATGGTAATCCGCCACTAACCCTCAAGAGGAAGGTATATAACAGCTACATCTTGCCAATACTTACCTATGGAGCAAAAACCTGAAGGCTTACAAAGAGGATTCAGCTTAAATTGAGGACGACGCAGGAAGCGGTGGAAAGGAAAATGGTAGGTCTAACCTTAAGAGACAAGAAGAGAGCAGAGTGGGTCAGGGAACTAAGTGGGGTTGAGGATATTATAGTTGAAATCAAGAAGAAGAAATGGACATGGGCAAGGCACGTAGCACGTAGGCAGGATAGTCACTGGTCATGAAAGGTAACTGACTGGATTCCCAAAGAAGGCAAACACACGAAGGGCAGGCAGAAAGTTAGGTGGGCCGATGGGATTAAAAAGTTCATAGGTATAATGTGGCAGTAGAAGCACAAGGCGGGATGATTGGCAGATCATGGGAGAGGCCTTTGCCCTGCAGTGGTCATAGTCAGGCTGATGAAAATGATGATTGCCCGATGTATGGCAGTAAAATACGGGCATGGTAAGTAATTGTGTCATGAGGCCGTTCTTGGAGGAGGGCGGTTTAAAGGTGCTAATGGTGTGCAGACCACTGTATTGTGATTTCCTTTCAAACTATGCATTTTATTGGCAGAAAATAAGGGCTTTGAGACAACTGGAACGTTGTTTCAACAATCCACGTCAACTTAGTGCTTGCCTTTGATGTCCCTTTAAGTATATCTCGTTTTCGCAACATTAACGAGAACTGCCTTGGTGACCTGCAGATCGCATGATAGAAATCTTCATCCTTCAGTTGTAACTAAAGTTCAGCACAAGGGAGAGAGAGGAAGAGAGACGAGTGCACTCTTATTTTCGGTTCCTAGTTTGTGTGCTTACTGCGCGGAGTTCGAATCTGGAAAGCGTGCCAAGAGGGGGTGTGCCTCATCTCCGTCGTACTTCACTACTCTGCTTGCTTTTTGGCAATCCTCCTCCTCAAAGTTCTGCCACGGCGCACTGTAGTACTCTTGATCTCCCGAGGTCTCCTTTGGCACCTTGTTTGGACAGTGTGACGTGTCACATCAATGGCATTAGTATCTGCAATGCGGTGTGTGTTGACCGCTTTTCTTTATTGTTATTCCGTTAGTGCGTGTGTCACATCTTAGAAGGAACAAATGTCTGGTGCTGCATTTGCAGCCCCTGCCAAGCAAACGTGGGTTAGCTGGGCTGCGAGTTGCGTGGAAAAGTTATCAGTCGCTTGCATGCAAGGAATGCGGGGATGTTTTATCTGTGTGTCTGCTACTGTTTGTAAGTCGTTGATCATAATGCCTGTAATCTGCCCTTGAACATGCACTTGATCTTTTTTTTTATGTCTGTTTCTTTGTTAATGATTTGAATTTTTTACAATGTTCTCTTTATTGTGGCATTCCTTCTTTTGCTGTCTCACGAAGCGGAGTATGTCGGTTGCAGATTTTTGCTTGTCATTGAGGCGAAGAGTTTCTAACCTAATAGTAAAAAAGAGTCGATAGTTGATACAGGCCACTCTAACAACTATGGCCTTATAACAACTGTGGCCTATTCAATGGAACACAGGTGAAAGACTGTAAACTCCTATTCAAACGATCTTTGTTAGGCTGAATTATTGGATGAGGGCAACAATGTGGGAAAGTAGATACGCTTGCCTAACTGCAAACAGCTTTATGGTGGCCAGAACGTGGCCAGCTGGTTCTGGTGTGGATGTGGAAAGATATTGTTCAAACAAGTGCTGTGAATTCCAGAGAGCTTGCAGACTGTTGTCTTAGTAGCAATATGGTTCTGCTGTTGGCTATGAGGGCAAATACCGCATACACTCGTGTAAGAGCCACACTTTTTTTCCGTGATTTATATAGGATGCGGCTCTTCCACGAATGAGTGCATTTTGGATCCACATTTAAAAAAACCTATTTAATTGTGCCATATATACCTAACGATGGGATATCTGGCGTCACTGCTTGGGCTCAGCTCGTTGCTGCTGCTCTCGTCCTTAGTGCTGCCCATGACATCGAAATTTCGGTGACCTTAAAACTCTGTACAATAATGTCTGTAGGCACTGCACACCACGCGTTTAAGAGTCCAAGAGCAGACCAGTGGATGTGCCTCCCTCCTTAGTCGTCTGGTTGGCGTTTTCTGGTGTTATTTCTTCTAATTTCGACTACCAAGTTAGGGGGGGGGGGGGGGGGGTGCCCAAGTCGAGTGTATACGGTATGTCTTCATTTGTTACGACGTACTGATTTACCGAACCACAGCAAACTGCTTTTGCAGGTTAGATGAAACTGAGAAAGAGTTCTCGAAGACCCTATTTTCAGACATGCAGAACGAATTAAGTGCTCCTCTTGTGTTTAATTACTTTCTCACTGTGAAACTACTTCAAGCACTTCTTTGAAGTAACATATTTGAACGCATGTAACGTGCTATTGTCTACTTTTTGGGGGCACTTGACCGAAGCTGAACTTCTGATAAAGTAAACAGGTCTTCACAATCTCTTGAAGTTCGTCTTAAATGTAGTCTACTGCTCATGCAAGTCAACCAACAAGTTCATTTTAAAACTGCAAAAGACGAAATGCACAGAAAAGGCTTGGTGACACGTGTGCTGCACTCAACCAAGAAGGAATCAATGTATGAGGTTATTTTCCGCCTTTTTAATCAGTATGTATTTGCCTCTAATTTACGGGGACCAATGCTTCTGCATTTTCTTTCATCTTTGCTCCTTGTGCATTATGTGGTGTTATTCCGAAAAGGGCAAGGAAATGCATTGCTTTTTTTTTGTGTGTTGTTGCCTTTCTTGCTATAGATTAGGATCAACAGTAATGTTCGACATGTTTTGTTAGCCAGCAGATTTAACGATTGACTACTGTCTTTTTGCTGATTGTAAGATTTTTCATGATTGTGGTGCACCAGCTTGTACTTATTTAAAGCAGGCTTAAAGAATATTTAGCGCTTTTTTAACATTTACTTTTAAATGTACGAGCACGTACTGTAGGAAGGACACAAGCACTGAGCCTGACCTCCGCTGGTCAGAACACTACAAGTTTTACTTCTTTTTCTTTTTCTTTAACTTATCATTAGGAGGTGCGTTACCTTAGCAACTAACATGGTTTTTAAGATGAACTCAACCATGTAAGTATGTCTTATGGCTCGGAATGTTTGTGTTTTTGTTTTTGGCGGTACGGAAGCACTTCTGGGACCGTTTTTTCACATCAGCGGTGGCGGTGTCGCATGCATGTTGTGCATGTTGTTGCACAGTCTTGGTATCTTCAGTGGTCACTTAAGTGTCCGTGGATGTCGTGGTGCCAAGTGTTGGTGTGGCGAACTGCGATTAGTGCCAATACACTGCACATCACTGTCTTGTTTGTGGAATCCTGCCAGGGTGTTCTGAGAACTTGGGTGTTCCAGGAGTGTTTAATTCTTTGCAGCTGTGGAATCGTCTGTGAAGTGTCATTCTAAGAGCCTTTGGAACATTTTTCGGTTGTGCAACACTCGTAATTTTCTGGCTTGCTTGTGCTTTCTTTCTCGATAGCTGTGCTTGCACCACTTTCCTCTGCGATGCTATGTCACGCTTACAGTGCACATACCGTTTGTGCCCTGGAAGAGCAGAGTGTACGGTATTAAATGAAGAAGAGGCTAGCATTAGAGATGGCAACTTGTGTGGTTTGACAGAAAGGTGCTCAAAGAGTACAGCTGTTTTTAGTTTACGTAGTGAAGTTGAAAAGAAACTCTTTGTAGAGAGTGATTCAACTACATTGTTTGCTTTTTTTTAAGTGTTGTTGGCCAGTGAGCAAATTGCTGTTTGTTTATAGAAAAGTACTTATTCAGGCTGGTCAGTTCAAAGTTTCAACAGGAAAGAATTGAGAGCAGTTTATAGGGCTTGACAGAAAGTGCTGGTGAAGAAAGCTGTGATCTTTGTGCCTGTCTGGCTTCTTAGCCTATTATGCATCTTTCCTGATGTATCTTTGCATTCACTACATTCTGGGGCAACGCGTGCACAGACTGTTTAGAACAACGGCATATTAATATTAACCAGTGCCCACGAAAGCTAATCAGTCACTACACATTGTCACTGACGAGCAAGTAATATTACATAAATGTCACCAGGTGTTATTTTAACTGTATTGTACTTTGTTTTACTTTTCTGTCGTAAAGTTCCTGCAGGATAAGTTTACATGAAATCAATGTTTTTTTAGGTGGGTGTCCCAGCTTACCTGGAACAAAATTGTAAAAAACAAGCGCTGTGGAAAAATAAGTCACACCAATTATATTAGCCTTAATAGTAATGTGTACCTACAGCCAATTATTTTTTGTCACTTACTAATAATTAGATTTGTTAGTCAATATTCTAATTGTTCCTTCAATTGCTTATGCGTCAACTATAAATTATTGACCTCCTCAAATTACCTCTGTAGGGCTGCAATTTGTCCAATTTTTTTTTTGAGCTACAACAAAAGCCTAAGAAATGGATGCTCACTCACATGCTACAGCTCAAGTGCTTCCAAGTGAATTTTTATAGATACTGGGCTGCATTAGTTTACGACTGCATTGTACGGGGCTTCACACTTGATGATGTTCGCGGCATAAGAACTCGCCGCAGACGCATTTTTAAGCATAGCACAGTTGTGTGTGAGTACAGGGGGAGAGAAGGCTGTGATTTGCAAGCAAGGAAAGTGTTATGGTGCATTTACAGCTGCAAATTAGTGATCTCTCCTCGTTTTGTAGATAGCAGCTCATCTATGGTTGAAGCTACGTATATCAAATTTCACATGAGGCGATGCTGCATCAGCAGACGCCAACACTTATCTTACTGTCAATTAAGTCGCAAAGCATAATAAACCAACCTGCAAGGCAAAGCTCTGCACATCTATGCAATAAACTAATGCAGCCGTCTATCTGTTGAAGTTAACTGGGAAGCCTTTGAGCAGCGGTGTGCAAGTGCGCCTGTATTTTGCGCATTTTGCGGGCTCTTGTTTTCTCTCGGGACCAAACAACCAGCCAAATTTCAGCTCAAAATAAATGCTCGGTTTCAAGGCTATTCGGGGTGGCTACCAACTTAAAAAAAGAAAAATGCCAGGCCTGCGCGGAAGGCGCAGCACACTCACAGCGAAAGCTAACAGAGTGGCCTTTCAGAGCCTTTCAAAACAATCATTGGTAACTGCTGCAAGCACACTTGCTTGATACCCACTAGGGCATTAATAATGAACTTCTGGGTAGTAGGCCGGCATTTGCTATACTATTTTTCGTCTTCCTCTGAGAAGCTTGGTATCCACTAAACACTTGCAAGGAATTTTGTGCCAACTGTTCATGCAGTGGCTGATGACAATGACTTATGGCTGAAGTGGGTATGCGCCACAGTTAATTGGGGAACAAGAACAAGCTTTTGTAATCGATTGGAGCATTGGACAACCCACTCGTTACGCTATTCGCATTGTGCGATGACTGGTTGTTCTTTTGCTGTTTTAGAACGCTTTATAAGTCGTATCAACGTGATTGCTTTCCCGACATCAAGCCTGCCTAAGGCAAGTTTGCCAACAAATCTCAAGTACCGGTGTGGCTCATTGGTAGAAAGCTGGGCTGGCACCCAGTAGACCTGGGTTCGAGCTTTACTGTGTCATTGGTGCTAGTTTTTTTTTTTTTTTTGTGCGATGTGGTTACAAACACTGGCAGCGGCGGCGGCGGCAGACAACTGCACGTGACCCGAGTTGTGATCTCTTAACAGCTTTCAGTGTATTTGATGTTTTAAAAAGTAAACAATGAAAAAAGAATTCGTTAGTACTTAATGATGAAAAACTCGCCAGTACTTAACTAGTGCTTATCTGAAGTTTATACAGTTTTTAATCTTTAACCGAGACACCATGTACATGTTGTCTTGCTAAGTATGGGCAGCACTCTTTTTAAATTATCCGAATTAACTGTGCTGCAGTCAAATATGAATGAAATAAATAGGGTTTGGTGCTATTAAACATTGCATATGCTAGCCAGGACCAGGGAACAAGTTCAAATTATTCAATTTTTTTAATAATGGTTGTTGAATGAACGAGATTTTATGGTAGAAGAGCAATGTAGTACCCCACCTGTTAGTGCGAACAAACTGATATGCCAGGAAATGTTTCACTTTATGCAGGCCTTTTACACACTTACGATCAGTATGCTATGAACTAAAACTTCTTTTTTATTGTTTTTGTCGTGTTGGTAATTATGAGTGGCTGCTCTGGCTTGTTGATTCTCACATGGAAAGCTCTGTTTTGAACTTTATAAAGGACGTTTTTGTTAAATCATGAAGAAAAAATATTTTTCGGAGGCATAAAATGTCTTTAGTTCTCTACATAGCGTGAAAACTTGCACAATGTGTACAGGAGATGTATTGTAAAGCACTCACAGTGAGAAGGGCATATTTTGAGGATTGCAGCGTGAAATTTGTGTTCAGTTTGAACAGTACATAGGGAGCGATGGTTGTGGCGGCTTAGTGGCAAGAGGATTAATGTGCTGGTAAGCGTGAGGTCGCTGGTTTGAATCTAGACAGAGACTGTGTATGGGTGAAGACCAAATGCAAAATGGCCTTTCACTTGAATCTAAGTACTCACTAAGGGACACCAACTGTTCAGAAATAATTCAAACTCCCCCACTACGATGTGCCATGTGATTATACCATTGTTTCTGACACGTGAAGCCTTAACGTTTAATTTTAATTGTAGTGCATTACTTTGTCTGGCTGCCTCCTGGAAACTTTCTGGACACAGACGTAGTGGAAGCAGTGTTGCATAGAATACTCTGTTGGCAGTTAAGCCTATTAGCTGAAATAAAGCATGGCTGAGAGTTATCATCTATGTCCTCACTTTGGCAGCTGTCAAGCGCACCACAGCTGCGACACAAGTGCAGCAGCGTCTCCTGTCACTTTGATAAAAAATTGCTCAATGCAGCAATTGGGACACCAAATTAGCAGGGCAAGAAAGAATTTCAGCAAAACATGCACAGCCGTGCTGTTCACTTCAGCATTGTGATTTGACTAAAACAACGCACGCACAGCTATGTGTGTTGTATAGCATCGCTCGACCGTCCAAACAGATATGAGGTCACGGACAGCCTGGTGAAACTTGTCCACCACGAGTGTTTGTAATGCAACAAAAGCAACTCTGTAGTCAAGCGAGCTATGCGGCTAACGAACCCAGTTACCTCAGTTTGACATTGTGTACAGAATGCATTCTCTGCTTGCATTTTTCATTTTGGCAAAGCTGCTCATCTGCAATTACAGCAAATGAAAGTCTCCTAAACTTAACTGCTTCTTAAGTGCAACAACTGCTTCAAGTATTATTTGTTTTCAAGTTGCATTCTCCGCCCCTGTTCATCTATTGGCAGACTGAACTCCTGTTAGACAAAACACATTTTCCTGGCCCCTTCTGGTTCCATTTAAGGATAGTCTGTTGTATTATTATGTTCCATTTCAAAGGCCGATTTTGCATTTGTAGCTGGGGATAAAATGGAAGAATGATGCCAGTGCATGCACATCTTATTGGCTATCTAAGCATCTGTACTAGCTTCTCTTTTAGAGGAGAAGCCCCACTGATCACTTTTTCATCAATAAATATCTGCATTAAATGTCAAGTTGCAGACTTTTTTTATTACCTTTTTGTAAAGCGTGTAGCTTAACTGCCCAACTCTCCTCAATGTTGCATTGAATTTAGCGTGTGGGATCACTCCACAGCTTTACGGAAATAGTCTCGTATTTACAAAATCTTATTGGAAAAACTATCTTTGTTCCTGACTATGCCTTATGCACAAATTATTTTAAACGGGAAGAGGATGCCAGAGCGGGTACTTGCTCCAAGCCTAGTTTTAGAGCCGGGTCCAGTGAGGTGCTTGTGTTGTGCCATGATGGTTTCTGCATGGCATGAGAACACGGTGCGCACACGTGTCCTGTGCACACGGTGACGGGTGCGTTATTTGAATGCGGGCTAGATGCTGCTGCAATATAGCGTTTGTGCTATTTATCAAACTTCAGATTAAATTTGAAGGTACTAAGCTGAGGAACGTTGTAGTTGTATGGAATAACCATGTGCTTCGAACTGTGGTGTGTTGACTGAGCCAGAGAAGGGTGAGCTTGTTGCATTAAACAGCTTCAACTTGCGCAGTTTCCTGGTTCAACTCGATTTAGCCAAGAAGTTACTGGGGCTCTACATTTCAGAGTTATGAACTGCTCGTGCGAGGCACACTGTTCTTAGGCTTGAAGCATTTCAATGAACATGCAATTGCCTTGTGTTTCCTTCTTTACTTGGCGGGAGTACTTGACACGAGAACATGATCCTGAGCATGAAGATGCTGTGGGACGAGAGATGTGGGGACAATTGCTCAAGCTATGTTCTCAATTGCGTACTTTGTGTTTCTCTTATTGTACTGGGGAGAACGCACCCTTTCGACTGCTGCATGTTACATCATGGCTCGCTGTGAAATTTGAGCTGGTGGTGCTTGATTTTTTTTTAAGCATTTCATGTTCAGCTCGTGGACAAATTCTGATCACAGTTTATTTTACTTTCGAAAATTCCTTCCAGGTATGTGGAGCGAAGAAGCGTACAGTTGTGAAAATATTTCGCCATGTGTGCTTTTGATACATTTCTTTTTGATTGCATTCTTCCATGACAATGTGCTTTCTTTCACAAGTTTTTTGTACGACAGATGTTTCAAGGATGCCCATTTGGTCATCACATCTTAAAACTGCAGTGCTGATGTGTTGGTTCTTGAGGATGATTTGTTATCTGCTGTTTTATTTGAATGCTGTTGATTCTTTATTGATGTATAAATATGTTTAAACTAACTTATTGTAGCTTCTTTTGTCTCAGTTGTACGCACCTGTTATTTTGTGTACCACTTCTGTATCTATGTATGCATCTTGCCTTTTCATTCAAGAACTTTTGCTTGTGTGAATCACCAGAAAGTCAGGGACGGCTGCATATGTCGAACTATAGAACGACGGGCTTGGTGTGCAATTTGTTGATCAGCGTCACTATCATTGTGAATGTGATAACCTCTGATTTGTTTTAGTCCTTTATTTTTAAACCTTGATGGCATTATCTCACCTATTGAGGCTTCGTGTTTGGGACGAAAGAATCTCAACCGAGCACTTTGCTGTTTCTGTGCAGATTCATGCATAGTAGAGACATGTCGGACTTGACACCTGGTGTGCAGTCGCATAAATTCGATGCGTTTAATTTCTTATCCGTTCGCCATGCTGTAGTGTGTTTGAGCAGTGCCTTCGATACACTACCAACCACTTTGAGCAGCTGGGAAAAGGCACTGTAGTCATCATTTTAACACTGCAAATATGTGTTGCCTGTTAAGCAAATTAGGTAAGCAAATACGTAAGCAAATTAGGGATAGTTTAGTTTAGTCACATTTTAAGACTGCAAATATGTTCTGCTGTTTTGGCACTTCATTTATAGGTAAGCAAATTAGGGATAGTTTAGTTAGCTTACAGTAATGAAGCCCTTACAGTAAGCGCTAAAATTGAATTAGACCGAATGAAGCCTTTCGGTGTTACTTAAAGTAAAAGACAGCAAAGCATGCAAGGTCACAGTGTGACCTTTTATCTACAGGTATATTTATTTCTTGATGGCTTCTGCTCAGTTTTAAATCTGGAAGTAAAGTTACAGTACAGTGAGTGGGACCTTTTTGCTATTGCCTTCTCCCCTCAAAAGCAAACTCATCGTTTTTATTACTAGTACTAGTACATCTACTATTCATGAATGAGAACGATATCTCTGCTTCTTTCGGAGGGCATGAGTAACAATGTCACATGCATGCCTTTTATTTGCTGTGGAGAGACATGCTGCATCGACAATGATGCACTATTAGGTTATATGCTTTTTGGTGAGTATTTAGAGTCTGTCATACCAAATGTCCTGCCTAGTGTGAATCAGAGCTTCCAAGTGGAAATCAGAGCTTCCAAGTGCAAGTTTGATTCTGCATGCACAAGGTTGCGTTCCTGGCAAGGGTAGGTTTAATAGAGAAAGTACAGAACAGGCTGCACAGCACAGGCTCGCATGTTGCCAACAGTTTTAGAGCTGTGTACTTGAACCTATACTGGCAAAAGGTTCCTCGATTGTCATTGAAGCAAAAGCGTACAAATTATGTGGTCAAATCTTGTTCATTTCTTTGCAGAGGTGTGTCAAGTTGTTGTTGTAGCAAGCTGTGTTTCATTGTAATTCATATTGTTGTCGTGGTGCTTTGGTCGAACTGTAGCAAAAAAAAAAAAAATTGACAGTAAAATAGCTTGTCTACTTTATTTTTCAAAAACTATTGCTTATGCCCTATCGTACAACCAGAAAAAACATCATGTTTTCCTCTGGCCTCTAGGTTAGTTCCTTGTTTAGTTTACGGGTAGGTGGGCTTCCGGAATCTGGTTGTGACACCCAACATCTGCTATCTTGCTTTGAGGCCTATGTCTGGCTTTCCTAGATATGGGCCATAAAGATGTATATCTTTTTTTTTGTCTCTGTTATTGCATAATTCATTTAAAACAAATACACGTACTTCTCTACGGTCGATATAGTGGGTTAAAGCAGTGATACCGCCTTGTAGTAGCAAATCGCACTGAATCAGAAGTACCAAAATACAGTGGCAAGGCCCAGTGGCAGTTTTGTGTGTAGACAGTACATTTAATTTTAATTTTATTGTACTGTCAGTCTCATTAGGGCCATCACAGGGTGGTGGTAAGATTAAAACAATAACAAAGGAATACTGAAAAACTACAGCACTCCCTGTTCAAACAACTTATGACTATAACGTGTAACAAAATTAAGCAGTGAGAGGATAGCCTAGACATTATATTAGAAAGCAAAGCAAACGAGCATAATAAAAAACTATGTTATCTCCTAAAACACCGTGATTCAGGTTTTGAAGAAAAAAAAAGTCGCACATTCAAGTGAAAAAAATGCCACGTGTCGCCAAGCTCACCGGCGAGTAATAAGCCTAGAAAGAACCCACATAATGTGGCTTGATCTTTCCGAGATACTCTAAGAAGTGTTTAACAATTTTCTCATACTTGTGAATATTTTTTAGTTGTAGAAATGGATGCTCAAATATGAATTGAAGATAAAAAAATTTCTTAGTTTGTATAGTGTAAATATGCCAAACTATGAATAAAGGCACCTATTTTTTAAGTGTAGTCTACAGGGCGGCCTCCACTCTGTTTGCCTGTACATAAGTAAAATTACTTGTTGACTTCCCCTTTGTGTATTGGATTTCATTGCTTAACTGCACAATGATGAACGAGCGCAAAAATGGTGGACTTGATTAGTACTGAATTATATTAGCAAGGAGAGTACAAATAAGCCCCCACAAATACAACAAGCGACTGCAAAGCTCTACAGTCAACTCTGTCAAAAGAGAATCCCGTATCTGCTTATTGTTAATGGGACTGGCAACTCTGGGCAGTACTTTGCTACATTTGGCACAATATGTTGCAGTCATTCTGACTAAACGTCTATATCATTACATAAGCTGTCTGGAAGACATATGTTTCTTGTCTTCCTCCAATCTCGTGGTTGCATTTTAGCACTCTGCAACACTTACTAAAGTGCAACGTCCTAATGTAACTGGAATTTGCCTCCGAGCGCTTTTGTTGTCCTGACAGCAGGTCGTTGTGGTTTAGTACCGCTACAAATGAAGCTTCTGAGCTCTCTGGCCCTGAAAGATGTCTGTCATATGTGCTTGAAGCACTTGTTTGAGAAGTTCTTAAGATAGGTTGCTTTTCATTCGGTGGTGCCGAGGGCTGTAGTTCATAGACTGTGGACACTTAGTTCAGGAAAGTAGGGTAATCGAGACTTACTTTTTTTATGCTTCCACAGCTTGCATCTTAGCCAAACCGCATTCTTAGCCATATACCACTGTGGACATTGTCTAGTTCTGAGATTGGCTGTGCCCAAGTCTTCTAACTCTGTATATCCAGAGCTTCAGCCAACGATTGATTGATGATTGATTGATTGATATGTGGGGTTTAACGTCCCAAAACCACTATATGATTATGAGAGACGCCGTAGTGGAGGGCTCCGGAAATTTAGACCCCCTGGGGCTCTTTTCTAGTATGCTTAGTGACGAGGGCTTTGATGAACAAGCATTTTGGCAAAGTAGTGACTTGATGCTGCTTTTCTTTTGGTTTGATCAGTGACATGTACTGCCTTTTAAAATAACCCTCACACTTCTACATGGTAAGCTACTGCGTTAAAATATCTTTTTTTCTAGGCTTATGTCTTGCGAGTAAAACTATTCAGCCATAGCACAACTACATCACACAGCATTGCTGACATCCTCTCAAGCACAGTGCCAAGTTGTGAAGCCTTGTATTTGCGTTTGCAGTATTGGCAAAGCCTTTATAACTAAAGGATCTTCTGACTTCATTCAAGTGTGTTGTCCACATTGAACAACCCTGAAGTTTTGTAATCTGGAATTCGTAGTAGTAGCATTAATTTGGAGGAGCATACATGCATCCATCTTCAAACTGTTATTTTTTTGTCATCACCAAATAAACAGTGGTGCCAAGGTAGGATTGGCAGCTTTGTTTGGTGCATTAAAAGGTCGACAGCAAATAAAACCTTCTTGCGACGTGCTCGCTTATTTAAGGTGTTTTAATGTAAGCCGGCGCTTGAGATGTTATAACGTGAAGCTGCGTATGCTATTGGCCTGTGTTGCTTATGTTTCTGGCCCAGAATAATGTCACATGTGTTTGCCTCTCGGTTGTGCCCGTCCCATTTGGCCACACTTTCTTTTGTATTTTGTTTCCCCTGCCTAGTCAGCAGGCATGTTGCCATGTCACCTGTGTTCCTGAATAGCATTTTCAAAGATATTTTTATACTTGCTGTGTTGAGCCACATATTTTTGTATCTTCTCGAAGTGGACTGTTTTTTGGAACCACTGTTGACAACATTCCCCGCAAGGTTACACTACCATGCCCCCCTCCACACACACCTTGAGTCTGGCTGCCCACCTTTTTTTGTGCCCGCCGTGACCTGCTTTTCGCCCTGTAGGTTCTCATGCAAGCTTGTATGAATGGTTCCGCAGTAAATGTTTCTTGTTCACTGGAACGCAAATGTGTGCTTCTCTCTGTGACTGTCCACAGTTCGTTTTACTAACGAAACACTGTGAGCAGTGGCTGCATTCCAGTAGTTACACATAGACCCGGTGTAGTCAATGGACACTCATTACAATATGCAATCGTTAGCAGATCTCTTTCCATCTTGAAGTCTTGAATACTAAGTTGCATAGTCATTGTTTATTGTAGTAATCTGCTTGAGTTTTAGTTAACACTTCTCATAAATGACAAGATGATGTCTGATAGCCTGGAGCATCAGTGAAATTCAATAAATTGTGAGGACATTGTGGCAATTAAGTTCATTTCAGCACTCCTAGCACATCCAACGAGATGGTGTATTTGATGCCCCCCTAGAGTGTCGCCTAGCAGGTCCTCTTTGCTGACAGGAATCTCTTGGAGCAAGTTTCTTTTTCTGGACTTTGTGCTTTTTCAGGGTACAGCTATTCAATAGCTCACTTGTCACATTCAAGAGCCAAGCCCAGGCATGCAGTCAGTATCTGCAGATTTCAAAAGTTGCTATTTGTAATTTGTTTTGATGCTGTGTGGAAACGCGTCGTGTGTTGACATAAGACATGACAAGTCTAGTTTGAGCCTGAAACATTTAACAAGGTACATGTCCTTAAAGGGAAAGCTCGGTCACTACTTGGCTACCACTGACGACATTATAGCTCCACGAAGTCATTCAGACTGCCAGTTTGCATGATAAAGTGCCGTGGGTAGCCTTTTTTTCCCTCTCTCTTTATAACGTAGAAGTATCTCAGTTAGATTTGTTTTGTTGCCAGTCAGCTGTTAATTAAAAAATAAGCGAACAGTACTGGCATTTTCTTTATATAATGCAGAAACTTGAAAACTAAGCAGTTATACCAGTAGTGCATAGTGGCATTTCTGCAAAACTTGGCCACGTGAAAAACACATTTTTTAATGCAGCTAATTGCATAATGATCTAGAAAAACCATAGTTATTCTGCAACTTCTGTATATAGAGTAGCTTCTGATGAATTTTTTGAAAGGGTATGAAGAGGCAATTTATGGCATGGAGAACAACTTTCTTGGAAATCACTGAGCTTTCAATGAGTGACCGCCAAGTTACCGTACCAACTATAGGTACTGGACATCACAGTGAAAGTTCTGTGGTCTAGTAGACCAGAGAGCCGAGCATTTTAACACTTCACAAACTGAGTTTTCACAACTAGTCACGTTATATCTGCAGCAGTTAATATACAGCTAAAGACTTCAGTATGGCTAGAATGGACTGTTTTCTTTTTCTTAAAACTAAAAGTGCAACAGACAAAAAATTTATTTCACAAATAAAGTTGTTTTTCAGGAAGGGCTTAGGCAAACACGTTGCGTTTTACTGATTTAGAAATTCAAATAAGGTGAGGAGATTTATTGAAATGTGGTCGCATGAGTGACAAGTGATCGGGCAACGAATGTCACTGGGGCCAACATTTTTAGGAAGCTACCTGCCGAGGATGAAAATCAGCTCAGTTTGTGAAAAGGGCTACAGTGGCACTTTCTACTAATTACTTTGTTATAATAGATTTAGTTGCCCTTTCATAGTTCATTCAAATGATGACCTGCCTTATGGAGGGCTCTTGCTGCAGAGGCAAAATAGTGTCATGAAGCTTCACGACCTGTACTTGGGAGTCTAAAACTGTCCACTCTAGTGTGCTACCTAGCTAAGCCAAAAATTTTTTAGGCATCCGTTATGCATTATAAAAGTGCGCATTACGCAGGTATAAAGGTGAAAGCCTACGATCACAGTAGTGCAAGCACGTTCAAATTTAAAAAAAAGTATGCACACACCATGAACACAAGGTGAACAGTTAACGTTTGCTTTGTGCACATCTTTTTATTTTAATCATGCACATGCCGCAAACACGGTTCATGTCAAGTGGGTCACTCGATACACAAACCACGTGTGCTCGCTGATGATGAACACTATCTAATTGTCGCATTCTACTTCTCGCGAACAGCCTAAGGCACCTTTAAAAAAAAAATCTGTGAAAAAAAAAGGACCAGAGCTTGGCACCACTAACTGCCCAAGTATGGTATAGTATCCTAAATTGTCAAGTATTGGCAGCTGTTTGCAAGCCACTAGTGACCTTGCATACTCACTTGTTAAACATATTTCTCTTTGTTAAGTTTCTTTTGTAATTTTATGCACATTTTGGAGTGGTCACATAAGCTCTACACATTTTTCTACTATACATAGGGATCAGGTCCCGTGTACATATAGTACTGCAAATCAGCGGTTGGGAAATGGCAGGATCGAGTACAACATCCAAGTCTCCAAGCCTCTAAGCCACAATAGCATTAAATCTTGTAGCATTGACCTTGAAACGTGTGGCACATGTTATGGGCTAGTCTCCCATTCTTGATTTTCAACAGCTGGCACCTTGAGGCAATGCTTTTGTGATTGACTCATTATTTTGATCAGATAACCACATGTACTAGATGTGTCAGGTTTGCTTATAATGCTGTTGCATTAAAAATTAACATCAGAAAAATTGACCTGGCTAGCTGGTCATTGATCAATACCTACAGTGAATAAATAGAGAAAAAAAAAAGGGGGGGGGAACCTTAAGCTACGCCATGAAGAGTTGTGAACATCTTAGCGATATCCCGTCCCTAGTGCGTACTTCAAACACTTAGGGCATGAAATCTTTTCGAACTTGCTTGCACCCACCACGTGGCCGCAAGGGAATAGGCCCAGTAACGCGTGTGCCTTTTGTAGTGGGTGACCTGCTTTAAACCATGAGGACATCATGATAATTGCATGTTCCGACACTCAATGGCAATGTACGCATGTACCATGCATTATTACTGCAATATTTCATGTTATATTGTGAAGCATGTATGCAGGACGCGTGTGTTGGTAAACCATGAAAGTCACTTTTACTGCATTTCCTAGCAGAGGAAGTTATTTTCATTGTATTCTCGAGCAGAGGTGTGGCCGTGTGGTAGAACTCCCGCTTGCCGTGCTAAAGACCCAGGCTCAATCCCTACTTGGACTCAGAATTTTCATTACTTAATATTTTAATTGGACTGTCGAACCATTCCTCTTCAGGCAAATTTTATAGCATGGTTTGGCCAAAGTTCTACAAACTCCTAGGAGGCAGTCAAAGATCGTAGGAACCTTGATTGTACGTGCCCGAAACAATTTCTGTAACTTAGCAGTTTTAGTCGTTTCGCAAAATTCCCCTCACGCGCTGAGCTAAAGTGTGTGCTGCATTGTAGTCATGAGTTCTTTCCTTCTCTGGTGAAGTATCTTGTATCGTTTCAAGGCAGTTGTCTTGCATGTATTGGTTGACTATCTTGTGTCCTTGTCTAACGCAATAAATGCAGTCTGTGGGTGTGAGAAGAGTTTTTAAGATAGCTTGACAGCATTGTTCCCAAGAAACACAAGCAAATTCATACTGAAATAGGCGAAGGAAGAGAAAAATGGAAGCATAACAAAAAAAGTAAAAGAGACCGAAATGAATAGAAAGATGATGTGGAGCATGACTTGTACAGATCTTATACACAGATCAAACAAAAATTGTGCCATAACATGTATAGGAAACATGAAATCAGATCACAATGACTGGGTATTATTTCAATATCTCGTTTCTGCAGTAAATCGAAAAGAAAGTAATAGCAGAAGCTTGTATTTTTGCTGAGACTGCTGGTCAGAAGTTCAACACTGGTATAACACATTAAAGCATAGGATATTTTCTCTTCATTGAGTTGTGCAGAAAGCTGTGTAGGCACGTGTTGAATCTAGTTTTTGGTCACTTTTGAATGATAGCCTCCTTTTTTTTTTTTTTTGTTCGAAAAGCTCTGAAACCAGCGAAGTGTACTCATGGGGCTCCATCACACAGCATCACCACCCTTTGGTTTTCATTAGGATATTTTTTTAAAGTGAAAGCCTTGGATGCCTCATCAGACATGAAGTTTGACCTTGCTTAACCTTCTCTAATATTGTCGAAGGTTGAGCAACACATCTTAACAAGTCTTTCGTCTCATCTTAAATAGAAAAGTACTAAAAGGCACCTTAGTCTGTCTCATCTATGAAAAACTATAGGAGAAGTGAAAATGTTTAATTTCTGACAATACAAACATGCCCTTTACTGTCAGCACTGAGTTGTAGACATTCTGGAAATGTTTTCTGCAAAGCTTTATGCATGTCAACTGATTGCCTGCATTTATGGTGCTATCACTCTTTTTAACTTGGGCAACATGCTGAACTTGGTATGAACAGGATGATCAGTAACATCTTATTGTGCTCTGCTTCAGAGCAGAGGCATTACTAGGGCTTCATTACTTGACAGCTCGAATATTAAGTTCCTTCTCTGGCATTGGTGCCCGAAAGGCATAAAACGTCAGCACTGCAAAGTGCAATTGAAGAGTACCTATTTCATAGTTGCTTATTTTGATGCTCTGATGAAACAGCCAGTTCAGCCAAAAATGCAGACACATGATAAGGTCATTACCATGGTGGCTGTGTATGCAACTGCGCAGAGGCGTGTGCATGAGGAGAAGCATGGGCGAGGCCTCCCGCAGTCGCCACCTGGGCTGGGGTGCAAAGTCTGGCTTATACATTGACTTAAGCGGGGTCGCACTGCAAAAAAGCACGGTCTGCTGGGGCGAGTTGGTAACTCAACGGTGGTGCGCTATAGGAGCCTTTACAGAAAATGGCAGTACCTATGGTTTGCCAAGAAACACAATTTGGAAGGCTGGTTATGCATTTTAAACATAAGTTAAAGGCTCCTTTTTATTAAGATTTTACTTTCAGTGAGCCACTAGTCATACAAGTATTGTGTAGAGCAATTCGAAGCTAGGGTTGCAGCTTTATTGTTTTAGAGTCATTTAGGCATAGTAAAAGTGTCCAAAAGCTGGCACAAGCTTTCAGATAGCTGCCAACATTAGTTGCTTGATACTAGCACTTCACTATCTAGCAAGACTGAAATGATTCTGACATATTAAATGTAATGCAATCATAGCCTGCTGAGTGCAGGACGAAAGCTACTTCCAGCAATACTCAATCGCATCCGTCCCACATCTAGTCCCATCTTACATAATTGCTTGATGTATTTGCAGGAAAGAAATAAAATAGGAACCATTCATCATAAATCTAAGTAATAAAGCCATCATAAAGCCACCCATCCACATTTGCTCTGTGGTCCACTCTGAAATGATTCACTAGCAAAACTATTCAAGACAGGTGCTACAAAGACAGGTGGCAGCATGTGCTGTTAGCAGCACCTAGAGCGACTGCAGATTTAATAATGAGCGTTGCAAAAATGTGGTTGACGTTGATGTTCAATCACTAGAACTCCCTCCAGAGAATTTGTCAGTCAGGTGTTTCTTTCTCGCACCTATCCCATGTCTTATACTGGTCCTTAAGAGACCAGTGTCTGGTGTATCTACACTGAAATGAGGATAACACAGGCTGGTAAGGAACACCATTATCTTCTTTTATTTATATCATGCCTATAAACACCACATATGAACATTTCCTGCTAAGTCAGCCCAATTTTCAATCTTTCCTTTGCCCAGACCAAATGCTTCAATCACTTCTCTTATAAAACAGTGACAAGGCCTAGCTGATATTGGCAGCTCTTGACCCTTCAAGAACAGGCTGTCTGTAATATGAAGTGATAACATTGTTTGCAAAATGTGTGTAAAGCTTTGTCATAGGCCATGCACAATATCCCCGAGTCTGCACGGCACAATTTGAGCAATATCTGGAGTATGTACATGTGTTGGCACTGGCAGGTTCTTATGCCCAAGTCTCTCTTTTCGTTCTTGGGCAGCTGCGCTGGTGTGCAGCGCAGAATCAGCACTTCACAAAGTGCAAAACTCGCAAGAGATAACTAATATGTGCTCCACAATAGCAGATCAATGTTGTTGCAACAGGCGCACTTGGCCATTGTATGCATCTTAATTTGCACACGATACAAGAGTCGCATTTTCCAGGGCTTCTGAAAAAGTTGTAACCAGCCAGTTATAAGGATTCTTGGGCAGTAGGGCTGCAGCTCTCACTGCATTTACTTCTGTGATAACCTGCGCCCATCTCATAAGTTATTTGATTATTGCAGAGCAGGCACTTGCGATGACGAACCGGTGAATGGCTGAGCTGCAAAAAATGCAACACAATGAGTGAATCATGTTGCATAGCTGACTGCAAAAGTTTCAGAAGTCATGAAAATTGCCACATTTGGTCATGTTTTAGCTGCAAATAGTCCGCCTTTGCTAGCCGGTGACAGATTATTTTGTTGCAGCAGTTGTAACTGCTACATCGCCGGAAAATGTTTTGCCGAGGACTTGTTGCAACTTTCGTTCATATTTTTAACCAGTGTGCAACTGTCCAGGCTCGTCGTCAAGACCTTTATAGATGTAGTCCTCAGCATAAAAATAAAACTTGATATATACATACACTACCCAACTTCAGATATGGGACGCATCCAGCATCAATAATTCGAGGCCTCCGTCTATGTATTTCCGCTAGCAATCACCATCATATTATCTGCGTTCTGCTGGAGAAAGCATAAGGACATGTCTGTGGGAAGAGTTGAACACCTGGCCAGAGCTGCTTTAGTAGTTTTCCAAGTGATTGATTACATGGTTGAAGAGGCGGTGTAAGGTCAGTCAAACTTAACAACCACCTTGCCGACGCTCTTGCCAGAGTGGAGGTACTCGACGCCGCGAATGCATCCCTCGACACCCTTCAGTTCCCCACCCTCGGCATTGACCCCTAGGTCTACCCTGGGTACGAGGGTGCCGTCTTGCAGCATCATGTACAGCTTAGCCACATACTCCGGGAACAGGTCGGCATAGCTGGTCAACAAGAAGCCCGCCAGAGTTGTCGAGCGTGCGAGAAGTCGGTACGGCAAATTGCGCAGATCGACATCCGGGAACGGCTTGTCGTCATCGAGATAGCCCTTGATGGCGCCCACCACAACGAGGCGGCCTCGTGGACGCAGCTTCCTGAAGAGAGTGTCGAACGTCTCTCCACCCACGGTCTCCCAGACGACGTCGACGCCTTCGGGGTACGCCTTGCCCAGCTCGGCGCCAAGGTCGTGAGTGCGATAGTTGATGACCTTCTCGCAGCCTAAGCTGCGCAGGTACTCCTCTTTCTGCTCAGAGGAACAGGTGGCCACTACGCGGCAGCCGGCTGCGCGCGCGTACTGCACGGCCAGATGACCCAGACCTCCGGCGGCCGCCGTGATGAGCACTGTCTCGCCAGCGCTAATGCGACCCTGTCGGTCGAGGACCGATGGCGGCCGTGAGTCCGCTCACCAGAAGCGCCACTACCTCGGGTATGGCCTGTGGTATGCGGTACGCGCGCGTCGCCTTCAGGCATTGGTACTCGCCGAACGCGCCGAACCTGGGGAAGTTGGTCGTGGCCACGGCGTTGCCGACCTGCAATCAAAATACATCCGCCAAATCAGGGACCACGCGCGATTCGGCTACATATATGTATTATACATGGATTGCGTATTGTTCCTATCGCACGGCAACTTTCAAACTGCGATCGACGAAAACTTGACGAAAATCTGCCGCTTTTGTGGAGGCTAGTCAATCGGAATCGAGATATTTGGTCTCGATCGAGGCTGACTAGGAACAAACTAGATTGACACAGGCATATATATTATCTGCACATCACTTCGATATTAAATGCGTTGGCTAAAAGGATAACTGCACAGCTTGCGTTCTCCGAGAGGTTTTCCAGAACTAGGTTGAATTTATTGTGTAGTACCCGTTGTCCGCACCCGCCCCTCCCAAGAGCGAAACCGAAACTGAACACGTTCTGCGGCATTCCCTGGTCGTGAACGCAGTAAAGGCAAATTACCTGAAGCCCATCGACGTCTGGGCCGACTGCGACCACTTCGCCTACAGACTCGAATCCCAGGTCGAACGGGTGTTCCTTCGGTGCGTTTTCGTAGCGGCCGGCGGTTGCATTGACGTCCGATGCATTGATACCGGCGTAGCAGGTGCGCACGAGAACTTCGCCCGGCCCAGGCTTCGGCATGGGCACCGTAACCACGGATACCGCGTCGCGAAACTTTGGCGTCGTCTTTACGCACACCAGCTTGCGATACTCGGCCGGTATCTTGCTCTTCGAAGCCATGCTCGCCCTGGAAACAGCGGCCGCCGGCGCGCAACGAAGCAGCAACGCTGCACGAGTCGCGGACTGAGGAAGCATGTCTCGCTATCGCGGATTCGCCCTTTCCGGGAAAGTTCTTCGGTGTAGAGGCCGCGCGCGCTTCCTGCTGGCTTTTCTAAATGATTGCGCCTGTTGTGCGGCAGCAGAGGACAACTTGCTATACGGATGCGTCTATCTTCGAGCATGCGGCCACAGAACACCTATACACTATGTGGCGCACGTGTTTAATGGGAGGCACGGAGGAAGGAAAAGGTTTGTTAGGCGTCTGCTTTTATGTTTTGTTCTAAAAAAAAAAAAAAAAAAAAAACTAGTGACGTCGCTAGCTTTGATTGCCAGTAATTGGTGGCTACAGTCAAGGCACAAGTGAAAATTAAATCCTTCACTGCAAAATGCCAGTCCTTAACTTCACTATTTATGAAAAAACAAAGACAAATCTAGTTTTGTTCACAGTGTGACGGCTAGGTGGCGTTAGCCGCTGCCCAATCTGAAGGGTACAGCTATATCAATAGATCTCTCTAGTGAACCTAAAGAAAGTGAGGTAAAAAACAGCACGTTAATAATAATATTTAGAAGCGAGTTATTGTCTACCAAATTAACAAGTGTTGTGCAAGTTTGTATTTTTGTTAACATACGCACGAGGGCGGCACCAATCAACCGCTTTCTACAACAAAGAGAGAAATGAGTTGTTGTTTTTCTCCACGGATTTCTACCAAAGGAGGCATTGTTTCTACACGGATGGGGGAAAAGAACTTTAATGCAAAAACAGTGACCTCATGAGCTGCTTTATTCAGCTGAAAAAAAAAACACAATTCTTTCCAAGCTAAGAAAAGCGTGAATAGGGGGTGGTGATCGAGGCTTTCTTCATCGCAAGAAAAGTTCACTCTAACTCATTATATACCTTTATGATCTAAGAAAAAATTCTTTCTTATATGGTCACAATAGGATCCGCGTTAGATCAAGCACTACATTATTTTTAAATAATATGTAATCTTTCTACTATATAACCTCCATTACTCTAAAACTGCATACTATTGGCCAATCCCCCAAAGTGGGTATGCCCCACGTGAACAAGAATTGATCCCTCCGGGATTGTGACGCACTCATGGTCTTGACACCCCAGCGAACCCCTCATATCCTGACAACATAGAAATAAGATCCATTCGTCTACGTCTATCGATAGCATCTAATCGACGTCCTCATAATGTGCCATCCTTACATTCTAGAGAAACTACGTATTATTAACATCGTATACACTTCAGCCACTTCTCTATTACTTACAACATCAACTGCATCGCAGAACTTTCTTTCTTCTAAAACCGCTTTAGTTGACGTTTACAATGATAAGCATATACTGGCACGTAAAATCTAGAAAGTGCTCGAACATAAATGGACATGTAACGTTAGAGCGAGTGTAATGCATACACTTAAATGTGCGAGGAGATCAATAGTGCGAACGACCATAAAATTAAGATGCGTGGCGTTAGTGCTGCCGTACATGATAGCGCGAAATAATGCAGCCCGAAGGTACTTATCCTCATTGTGAAGCACTTTAGGGACCAGGGTTATCGTCGCTTGGCGTAACGCAAGCAAAAACACATAAAAATAGAACAGAGAATGCAAGTGAGAAATTGAAAGAGATGAAAAAAGAAGAAACTGGAAAAAAAAAGAGAGAAAGGCAAGGGAAATAGATAAAAATAGAAAAGAATCATAAACACAAAAAGCAAAAAAAAATGTGTGTTTGGAAAGAGTACTTCACGATTTAGAGTACTCGCTACTCTACTATGGGACAGCATAAAGCAAAATTGGCAGATCCCACGTACAGTAGGAATCGATGATATGCGAAGCACGAATTAGAAATGTTGATATGTCACTTTAAAATCAGCACAACGTTACGAGGTGGAGGTAAATGATACCGTGCATGACTTCACTATTATCATGTTTGGATGTGTCGTTTACCTTCGTCATCTCTTCACGCCACGCGATACCAAATTTAGTATATGTAGAGCTAGCGAAATGGCCGCGAGCACGCTATGAGCGTAGTATGTTGTCAAGTTCTTATATGACACACGTGTCAGAATTATCATGTTTACACCAGTCGTATATTTCGTCATCCATTGACGTCACCTAACACCAAATTTGGTATATGTTGAGCTAGCGAAAAGGCCGCTAGTGCATCATGAAGGGCCCGATATACTCCAATGTAGGGCCCTACGTTAGCAAAACGCGAGCACTCTATAGTCTGACGCCAGGCGCGACCAGCGTGCGTCGGCGCGAAATGCGACGTGCTGCATATCGTGCCGATGCGTTACCCAGACAACACCACGTCTCCCTCGTTTCATTACGAAGGGACGCCGGACGCGCTAAAACGCGCATGCGTCATAGCAACGCAGCGCGGCGCGCGCCTGCGAGTATATGGCAGGACCGGCGCCTGGTGTGGCAACGCCAGCGTGACGCAATTAAATCAACGCCGGCAAACACGCGCACCGCGTCGTGTCGAAACGCATTGGCGCCTTGACTGTGGCATGTAGTCATGTTCTCACATGATACGCATCTCATGATTATCATGTTTGCAGCAGTATCATACCTTCGTCCTCCATTCACGTCCCGTTATACCAAGTTTGGTATAAGTGAAGCTAGCGAAGCGGCCGCCAGTGCATCATGAGCGTGGCATGTGGTCATGGTGCTACATGACACGCATCTCATGATTATCATGTTTGCAGCAGTCACATGCCTTCGTCATCTATTCACGTATTGTAATACCGAATTTGGTATATGCGACGCTAACGAAACGGCCGTGAGCTCATCATGAGCGTAGCATTTAGTCATGGTAATACATGACATGCATGTATGCTTTTCATGATAGGGTCTGTCGCTTGTGTTCGCCATGCAACATCCGTGTGTGTATAGTCACCGACCGTAGAGGAAAAATTACAGCCTGCGCTTCAATAGATCAGGCGTCGACAACACAAGCCGAAGAGGTTGCCATAGCACTCGCAATAAAAGAGGGATGGACGCGAAACGCTCCATTAACAATCATTACAGATTCGCAAAAAGCTTGCACAAACTATCTAAAGGGCAAAATTCTACCACAGGCGCTCCGTATATTGGTTGGGACCCCACAGTAAAACACGTACAGGCTGTGACTTGGGCACCGGGGCACGTGGGCGTGACAGGGAACCTGCGCGCGGACGAGGTGGCTCGAGGCTTCACAAATCACCGAGCCACTCAAGATCATGCAATAATTTTGCAATTGATGACCCTACACCCCTGGACCCTTGTTTCACAAAGATTCTAAAGTACTACAGGGAAAATAGGCAGCTGTATCCACGTCCTCATAGCAAGCTCAGCGCTGCGGAGGCAACAGCGCTAAGAAGAATACAGACTAGCACTAACATAAATCATCACACTATTCTCCTGATCTACCCCACGGCGTACAGAGATATACGCCCATGGTGTGGAGCCACCCCAGCACTCTTTCACATCACGTGGGAGTGTGCAGAGCACGACAAAGATCATGACTCCAATGGCACATGGGAGGCGCTGCTGTCTAGCCCAGCCTAGGGTGCCTTGATGCCCGCGCGCTCCGCTGAGGGTGAGGACAGCCGCGTCGTCTGCTACGACCGCCGCCATTGCGCCTCCTCACCACAACTCGACCGTATGTGAAGCCCGTTACGCAACGCTCGTGTGGTGCCCTGATACGCCCGGAAACATGTGCAAGCTAGCGAGCTTTTCTTTTTATTGTAGTTTGGACATCTTTTAGAGTTAATTTTGCCTGAATGCATGCAGGGAGCGCGTATTTCATGTAAGCTGACGGCTTGCGCATGATTTATGCGCTAGAGGCAGACGCTGACTCTTTCATGTTGAAAACAAATCCCTACGCCGGTTACCACAGAGGGGATTCTAAATATATATCGGTGGTGTCGTTTATATGCTTTCTTTGTTAGTGTTAATTATTATCTGAGGCTTTTACGTTCTAAAATGACGCCTGATTGCAGGACTGCAGCAATTTTGACAATCAGTTTTTTTTTTTTTTGCCTGCACTGACACAGTACATGGGTGTCCTCTGGTGTTTTAAGTTATTCAAAATGAGACCGCCGTGGCCTAGATCGACAGCGTGAGCCTCGCGTCAGCAACCGAGCACCGTGCCCAAGGTACCACTGAGGCGGATGCCTTTCTTATTGCATTAACTATTTCTCCACGATCTTCTCATCACACAACTTGACTTGTTTTTTTTTCTGTTTTTTTGCGACATAGCGTGTTCATTCTACACAGCGGTGCCCCGTCTTGTCTTTATGCATCTTCTTTGTATGGACGCTTCGCGAGTACAGTTTGCATAAGCACTTGCGTATGATCCCTGATAGCTCACAGTATTAATAAATAAATTATTTACTTAAATAATAATGCGTGCTGAAAGAGTTTAAATACTGACGGTGTGTGTGTGTGTGCGTGTGTACACGCCTGCCGTTTCCCCTATTATCATCCAGTGTAGAAATAATTTATTTTTGTGCATTAATGCAGCGCTGCCAGAAGCGATTCAAATTATACGCTCCATGGCAGAATTCACTGAGTACTGTCACTAGTTGCTTCGCAGTGGTCGTAAATGATTAAAAAAACAACATCAATTGCGTAATGATTCGAGACAGGACGAAAAGAAAACTTGAAGTACAGGAACAATGAAAAAAATTTGAACTGCACCCATTCTTACAAGGGTCATTACACCAGCATAGAAGGCGTACCTAAATCGAGGAAAAGATCGTAGAAAGAAAGAACCTGTGTGGCTTTGTAATGGTTTGGGCGCTCGAACGGTCGGTAATCGATTTCTGGCCGCAGTGGCCCCACTTCGATGGAGATGAAATGCCGGAGTTCTTAAACTTAGGTGCATGTTACATAAAAACACCTGTTCAAAATTTCCGAAGTCCTCCAATGTATACCGCGTCTCTCGTGATCATATGGTGATTCCGGAACGTACACACACTCTTTAAACTTCAGTGGGTACGACACAGCCGCTGCGCAAAGCTTTATTCCCACAAATGAATATTACGAAAAAAACAAGGATATCATCTGCAAAGAAACACGTGTAATGTATATTTAATAATAAATTTCTTATCGCACATAGTGAAACCAAGAATGAAGGGCAGATACAGTACCAACCAAGAGCAGCAAGCAATGTTTACGAAGTGAAATACGCGATTCATGCACACGAGAATCAAGCATACAGCCGTCA